TCCTATAGACCCTTAGAAGGTATTCAAGTAAAGAGAGGCCGCTTGAAGGGTTGAAAGGGTTTTTTCTGATGTATGGGGACCTATTAACATTCCAGGTAGGAATAGTGAACGTTATTTCGTTTCCTTTATTGACGAATATTCTCGTTATGTGGTAGTGTACCCCATTGTGGAGAAAAGTCAGGTGTTTGAAGTATTTGAAAGGCATATAGCACGTGCGGAAAGATCTTTGAACCTTAAGTTGAAATACTTTAGGACTGACAATGGGCGAGAATATGATAATGATCAATTCAGGTCATATTGTAATAAAAATGGTGTAAAGCACGAATTTACAGATGTATATACTCCAGAACAGAATGGAGTTTGTGAGAGATTTAATCAGACAGCTCTCAACAATGTACGTGCAATCTTACATGATAGTGGAATGAGTCCTGAATTTTGGTCAGATGCAGTAATGTATTTTGCATATTCATTTAATAGAATTTGTCATAAGGGCCAAGATAGAACCCCATTCGAATTGTACACTAAGCGGAAACCATCAGTACGTCACCTTAAGGCATTTGGAACGATTGCCTATGTGGGAATTCCAAAGGCTAAAAGAAATTCTAAGCTTGATCCAAAGGCAACGAAGGGCCGATTGATTGGGTACAGTGTACGAACAAAAGGGTACAAGATTTGGTTGGAAAATGAGCAAAAGGTAGTAGAAACCCTAAATGCTAATTTTAAAGAGTAAATTGGAATGCAGAAAAGTGGCAGTGGAGCTGCACTGGGCACCCTTCCTGATTTGGAATCTGAAGAAAGAGTAGAGTTCCAATCTACTGATACTCCAGTTGGCTATTTTCCTGAAATAGAGGAAAGAACCGATACCATTGAACGATCTACATTGAGACAAGTAACTTGGCTTCGTAAACCTGTTCCAAGGCCAGACGGCACTCGTACAGATGTGTATTATTTTGACAGGGGGTCTAATCAAAGACTACGATAACCAAATGATGTAGAAAGGTATTGTACTGAACATAATATTCAGTATGATCCTACCTTGTTTGATTTCAAGGGAAGCAATACTTATAGTGGTGAAATCGACCCAACTGGCACTCCTTCAACGTCATATACCGGACAGTTGAAAAAATTGAAACCTTTAAAAAAAAATGTTTTTCTTAATATTTGTAGGAACCGTTGGCATCAAAACGCTTCAGTCTTCGAATGGAATACATTCTGATTTGACAAAATTATACATTCTCTCAAACGGGGGCAGTTCGATAACATGTTGGCGGTGGATAGGAAATGCATTTCCGTTCCATGTAGACACAAAGGTTCGATAATATTCAGGTCTGGTGACTGTTGGTGGCCAGGGGAGATGGGACAACTCATCCTCGTGCAGAAACCAGTCCTGGACAATGTGAGCTGTGTGAACAGGGCCTTGTCGTCTTGGAAGACACCATCACCATCGGGGAACAAAGTTTTGTACCATGGGATGAACTTGATCGGCCAAATTTTCACATAAGTCTTGGCAAGTCCATGTGCCTGACACAATACATGGGGCTAGCAGAGAGAACCATAGATATGGCTGCCCAAACATAACAGAACCCCCGCCATGTTTCACTCTTGGCAACAAGCAGTCTGTAGGATAGGCTTGAGATGGCGTTCTCCAGACGTAAACTCGGCCAGAAGTGGAAAACAATGTGAAAAAGATCGTCAGACCCCATATTACTCGCTTCCACTGCTCTATAGTCCAGGCTTTATGATTTATTTAAACACCCCCTTTTCCTGTACGGGCATTAGCATCACTGATGAGTGGCTTCTCAATTGCAGCACGGCCAGCAATTCCCTGTTTATGAAGCTCCCTTCTAATTGTTTTGGTACTCACAGGGTTCGGTAACACAACATTCATTTCAGCAGTACTTTTGCAGCTGTGGTCTTCTTATTTTAGTCACAATTGCCCTTAATGATCGTCTGTCACGATCATCAGGACCCATTTCGTCCGCGCTGTGATTTAGCAGATGATGTTTTACCGCTTTTTCAAAATATGCGGAAATAAATCTTCGATACAGTACCTCTTTTGAAACACTAAAAAACACCTTGGCTACCTTGCTTACGGAAGCCCTACCATAAGTGCTCCAACAATTGCCCACGATCGAAGTTTGTTACTCTACATAATGCAATGACAACCTCACATAACAGTACTCCGAAACAACTGAACTGTTTAGCACATTTACGAAGTTGTATAGGTGGCGTCAGTAGTCAAAAACGCCAGCGCCACCTACATATTTCATTAAACTCAATCTTTCTTTTCAAACATGCATTTCACAAGGTGTTTCCATATTTTTGTCCATCCACTGTATATCCAAATGAAATTGCACAAAATTGTCATTTTCTATTCATTAAGCATTCATGTCTGAATAATAAGTCATAGTATCTTCAGATTTCCACTTCACTATGACATCATTTACTCTACAATGGGGAATATATTAACATTGCAGAAAAATTTCGAACTTACTTTCTTTATAAAATTTAGTTGTATCTTTTGTTTTGCAGTGACTATTGTAAACTTGCAGATCTCTTTTCATTACTATCAGAGCTATCACTGATGTTAGTGATAAAATCTGCTTCTGCCAGGGATTTCCAGAATTTTGATCATATAGTGTACATAAAGTGAGATCAGATGAGGGTTGATAGACAATAAATATATATTTCTTTCTCCAAATGTGCGAATAATGATTATACCACTTACTGTGTTTTTATTCTATTTTATATTGTTAATAAATTGGTTAAGTTTGAAACTTCCTTATTGTCTTCAATGTCTGCACATCATAGTATCTCAGGGAGCTTTTATTGCTACTACTGCTAAATGTTTAATTTTATAAACTTTAAACTTTGCTTTAGCATCACATAATGTGCATGTGTAATGTATGCGCATTCTTTACGCGAATGCGTAAAGTTTGTGGCTTTAAGGTCTGGATTATAGATCATTCCGGATAATGGACATCCGGATTACGGACTTTGTACTGTATACAAGTACATTAATTGCACGCGTACTTATTCAATTGTTAACACTTAAATAAACATTAATTCTTGGATATGTACTATAGTTTATATTAAATACAGTAACTCCAAGTTTAGCTACAGCAGACTGGAATTTGGCTTCAACAAGCTTACCAGCCTTCAATTAATTTCAAGTACAGTCAAAAGTCATTAATCCACACTCGTTGGGACTTCGGCGATTCCGGATTATAGATCATCAGTTTAAATCTGGTAAGATGGCATGCGAATTATAAAATTAAAAAATATGAATTTTATGAAAAAATAATAATTTATGAAATAAAGAACAATTATGATCAAAGGTATCAAAATTACAAAAAGAAGCTTAAATTTATTTGTTTACTTTATTAAACATTTGTTTCAACGCGCGCATGCGTAAACCATACATTACGCATAGTCGAAATTAAAAATTGCAACCAGAAACTATTATTTGTATTTGTGATATTTATAATATGTTTTTTTACTTTATTAAACATTTATTTCATGTAAGTTGTTTAAGTTTTCTTTTTATGTGTAATACTTTCTCTTTAATTCTAAACAGAATCAATTCTTGTTCAGTTACAAAGTTCCACTGTCCAAGTCCTATAATTGCTGTTGTCGATAATACCGACTAATTTGTCATCGAAATTTAGTTTTCAATAAACCTCTGTCACTGTCTTCACTATCGCAAGCGAATTATAATGCGAGAATTTGATTTAATCATATCAGAGTACATCGAGATGAAATGCTACATTTAGTAAGGAATTAAAGCCCAATAAAATAAAAAACATCTGCCTGAAGATAAGGATAGTGTGACAGATTCATTGCGCGCCGCGGCTCCCCCCCGACCACCGCAGCCTGAAATTGATAAACAGATTCGGAATAGTTAGATAAACAAGGATATGCCTTATCCATTTTGCAGCAATTCAACTTTTTGTTTGATGCCATCAAAACATACTTTCGCTTTGTAGATCCTTTGGACGCTCAGCTCGGAATTCTATTTGACATAATCGAAAGTTCAAGCTACTTTTATAAAATGGCTCTAACAGTATGCAAAAATAATAAGCCGGATCCAATTCGAAGATTAAGGAACAACGCAATCTGCAACACTAACTGAAATAGATAATTAGATAATTTTAGCTTATACCGTCAGTTATACATTAAATGCGCATGCGTAAACGTATTATGCGCACATGCATATGCGCAGCCGTAAAGGTCTTACGCGCATGCGTCACTATGGGTGTCCGAATTAACGACTTTTCACTGTATCTCCTACAGCTCCAACTGTCAAAATCAACACACACATATACATAGAAGGAATTCAATATAAATTTGTACTTATTATAGTATTTAATACAATTTTCTCAGAAATTTATTTAAAATAATAACTTAATACTACATAACTTATTTAATTTATAAATCAATAATCATATTTAATACAATTATGTAATAAACAAGCCAAAATATACTATTTATTATTAAGCGAACCAGAAAATTCATATTTTACAGAAATATATTCATATTTATTTATTTTTATTCATATCTATATTACTCTTTTCCTTTGGCTGTCAGCAGCTGCAGCTAATAATGCCTCAAACATTACCTACAGCTTCTTTTTCAGTTCATGGAAGACTAAAAATTGTATGTATTGAATACACGAGTACTTTATAATGAAAATCCACTATACTGATACAATGCAATTATGAAAAACCAGTTATATCATTACCATCTATTCTTTGCACATAAACAGATCAGTAACAGTTTATTTCTTACACATGTTCACAAGAGTAATTCTTTGTTTCTTGCTAATGCAGAAATGCACCAAATTTACTTATCTACTTCAACTAAGAAAGTTTTTTTTTTTTTTTTTTTTTTTTTTTTTTCCCCTTGTATACTGCATGGAAAGTTCCACTGTTTACTTACAGAATATGGCTTAAAAATGTATGGCTATGTACAGTAATTATAGTAAAAACTTTATTTCTCACCTGCTGTGGCTGAACAAAATCTAACCAATCTGAAGCATATGTTGGAAGCAATCCCATTGAAGAGCATTTATAAAGTGCTAAAGCAAGGCAAACCAGATTTCCAAACAAGTACACAATTTTTTGAAGGACAGCTTGGCCTCCTTCTATAAGCTTAAATGCTACATGTTGAAGGAAAGAAAAAAAAAATTACATCTGTTTTTGACTTTATAGTAAATTTTCAGAGCTAATTACTATTAGCGAATAAAAAATATCATTGAATACACATGTATAAACTAAATATTACAAATGTGGAATAAATATGGAAAAGTTTTAAAAACATGTAATTTAAAAATTTTTTGCATAAATTAAAGCTGCTATTTGTGTCAAAAATTTGTATTATCAATTAAAGTTTAAATATTAATTCATTGTATATTAAACATCACACAATACATATTTATTAAATAAATCACTTTATAAAAATGGTAACAAATGCAAAATTATTAATTCATTGTATATTAAACATCACACAATACATATTTATTAAATAAATCAATTTATAAAAATGGTAACAAATGCAAAATTGAATATACTAAGTATCTCATTTTTAGCCCAATGGGGCCATTTTTCTAGAAGGGCTATTAATTTCATTTTGGCATTTTGCGTTGGTTCATTATAAATGGAGTTTCATTTTTCAAATTGCCACTTACCTCTCTGTCATCAAACGTATTGTCATGGCAATGTAAAAAGGCACAAATTTAATAAAAAGCAAGCATTCATATTATGCCCATTGCATTTTATAGTTCAAGTTAAGAATGTGCCTTTCAAGACGAAATATGTTAACAAAAACCTTAAAAACTATTATGTCTATGCATCAATGCTACTCTATGTTCATCATGATATATATATATGATGAAAGCAAAATTTAGAAGTACTGATGCAGGAACACTGAAGACATAGAAATGTAGCAATGTAGGCATACAACGTAGATCCATATTGAAGAGGAAGAATTCTGATTACATAGAATACTGAAATGCCAATCCACAATGAATAAGAAGTTTGGCAGTTGAGGTAGATTAAACCTTCATTTTTATTTAAACTGGCATTTGTGGCCACAATCACTTAGCACTCTATTTGTGTTCATTTCCAGAACATTTGCATTTTTTAATACTATTGCGAAAGGAAGAAAGCGCAACAAAATGAAATGGTATCCAAGCAAAAAAGTTTGCATGTATCCAATATGGCAATCTGTTAAGAGAACGGTTTTGGTTTAAGTCAGAAAAGTTTCAGTTCTCTCAGAGTTTAGGTTTCAATTTAACTATACGGTCAAAAGTCATTAATTTGGACACCCATAATCCGGAATGATCTATAATCCGGACCTCAAAGCTAAAATCTTTCTGAGCATGCGCCGCATTGACGCTTGCGCATAGGCGTTTTATGCGTGCGCGCAAGACATTTACGACTGCGCATATGCGCCTGCGCAAGCGCAGAATACGTTTTCGCGTGTGCGTTTAATGTATAACGGACGATATAAGCTAAAATTATCTAATTATCTATTTCAGTTAATGTTGAAGATTGCGTTGTTCCTTAATCTTCGAATTGGATATGGCTTATTATGTTTTGCAGACTGTAAGAGCAATTTTATAAAAGTAAGCTTGAACTTTTGATTATGTCAAATAGAATTTTCGAATCTTAAAATTAAGATTTAACTTGAAATTAATGTAGATAATTACCGAGAGCATTAGATTTTTGTAGAGTAGTTTACGTGAGATGAGATCGCTTGGGGTCACGTGATAGGAACCGGCGAATCAGGATGTTGAACCATAAAAGCATAGTGAATTCTTAAATTAATGTGTTTTTACAAATTTATTGTCTTTATTTATTGGCTTTTTATAAAATTTTAAGCGATATTAAAATGTTTATGCCTTTTTAAAAAAAAAAAAAAAAAAAAAAGGAATTCTTAGAACTAACATTTTTTTATATTTTTTATGTCTATACTGTATGTTGTCGCCAATAAAGTCTGCTTGGCGAGATTTGCGCCAGCGAAACGGAAAAGTACCTAAATTTTTTTATTCTAGTTGACCTGTTTATATATATAGTGGCTTCCAACAGTGTTTGTGCACTTACGAGTTTCAGTGAAAGATTGCTTTATTTATTAATAAAAATTACTACAGTCAAAAAGTTGTTAATGCGGATATCCATAATCCGGAACGATCTATAATCAGGACCTCAAAGCTACAAACTTTCTGCGCATTCAAAGCATAATGCGTTCACGCATGTGCATAGGCATTTACGCATGCGCGTAATACTTTTACGCATGCACGTTTAATCTAGAAAACAAAACGGATCTAGAAAACAAAAGTATGTTTCGATGTCCATCAAACAAAAAACGAATTGCTACAAAAAATGGATAAAGGCATATCCCTTGTTTATCTAAGCGTTCCGAAATCTGTTTATCAATTTCAAGCTGCTCTGCGCGGGGGGGGGCAATGAACTGGAAGTTGATCTGTCAGCACTATCGTTATCTTCAGGGCAGATGTTTTTATTTTATTCGGCTTATAATTCCCTTACTAAATGTAGTATTTAATCTGGATGTACTCCGTCTTTGATATGATTTAATGCCTCATTTTCAAAACGTCTTTGATATGCCTCATTTGCAAAACAAGTCGCAGTTTTTTCTTATCAGATTGATTGTTTCTTTCAATACTGGCATATAATTACTTAGAATTTTTATCAGATAGTTCAGTTTTATGTCTAAAGCCATTTTCGGTAATTAAGTCAATTAGGATGCAGTCACATCGCTTACCCGAAGCCAAAAATATAGAAAAGGTAAAGTCAAGGGTTAAAATTCATCAATTCTAATGAGAATGCATTAGCGAAGTAAAGCACTGCAGTTTTACATAATTTTTGAGTAAGCTATTTTGTATGAATTGAAATATTTCTTGCATTTAAACTTGAGTTCCAAATTAAGATTTAACTTGAAATTAATGTAGATAATTACCGAGAGCATTAGATTTTTGTAGAGTAGTTTACGTGAGATGAGATCGCTTGGGGTCACGTGATAGGAACCGGCGAATCAGGATGTTGAACCATGAAAGCATAGTGAATTCTTAAATTAATGTGTTTTTACAAATTTATTGTCTTTATTTATTGGCTTTTTATAAAATTTTAAGCGATATTAAAATGTTTATGCCTTTAAAAAAAAAAAAAAAGGAAATCTTAGAACTAACATTTTTTTATATTTTTTATGTCTATACTGTATGTTGTCGCCAATAAAGTCTGCTTGGCGAGATTTGCGCCAGCGAAACGGAAAAGTACCTAAATTTTTTTATTCTAGTTGACCCGTTTATATATATAGTGGCTTCCAACAGTGTTTGTGCACTTACGAGTTTCAGTGAAAGATTGCTTTATTTATTAATAAAAATTACTACAGTCAAAAGTTGTTAATGCGGATATCCATAAATCCGGAACGATCTATAATCAGGACCTCAAAGCTACAAACTTTCTGCGCATTCAAAGCATAATGCGTTCACACATGTGCATAAGCGTTTACGCATGCGCGTTTAATATATAACAGGCGGTATAAGCTAAGCTAAAATTATCTAATTATCTATTTCAGTTAATGTTGCAGATTGCGTTGTTCCTTAATCTTCGAATTGGATCCGGCTTATTATTTTTTGCAAACAGAGTAATTTTGTAAAAGTAAGCTTGAACTTTCGATTATGTCAAATAGAATTTCTGATGCTGGAGCTGCCAAAGGATCTACAAAGCGAAAGTATGTTTCGATGTCCATCAAACAAAAAGTGGAATTGCTTCAAAAAATGGATAAAGGCATATCCTTTGTTTCTCTAACCATTCCGAAATCTGTTTATCAATTTCACGCTGCTCTGCGGTGCGCAATGAATTGGAAGTTGATCTGTCAGCACTATCCTTATCTTCAGAGCAGATGTTTTTATTTTATTTGGCTTATAATTCCTTACTAAATGTAGTATTTCATCTCGATGTACTCCGTCTTTGATATGATTTAAATCAAATTCCTCGTCATTATAATTTGCTTTCGATAGCGAAGAAAGTGACACAGATGTTATTGAAAACGAAAAAATTTCGATTGACAAATTAGTCAGTATTCTCGACACAGCAATTATAGGACTTGAACAGGGGAACTTTGTAACTGAAGAAGAAATTTGTCTGTTTATAGAATTAAAGAGAAAGTATTATCACATAAAAAACGAAGCAAATTAAACAACTTACATTGAAAGAAATGTTTAATAAAGTAAACAAATAAATATTAAGCTTTTTCTTTTTGCAAATTTTGATACCCTTTAGATCATAATTGTTCTTTATTTCATAAATTACAGTTTCATATTTTTAATTTTATAATTTCTGCATGCCATCTTACCAGATTTAAACTGATGATCTATAATACAGAATCACCGAAGTCCCGTCGAGTCCAGATTAAAGACTTTTGACTGTATTTGAAAATGAGAATTTTTTTAATAATATCCATATTGCTTATCAAAAATACATTAGTTATTTTATGAACATACTTAAAAGGTTTTTTTACAAAAAATCAATAATAAAAAAATGACAGAAAGGTTAACTCGCATAAGTCTTCGTACGCTTTAAAGAAATCTGCACATATTATTAAATACAGTCAAAAGTCGTTAATTCGGACACCCATAATCCGGAATGATCTATAATCCGGACTCAAATAATATAATCTCAAAGCGTTGGCACATGCGGACAGGCATTTTACGCGTGCGCGTAAAACCTTGACTACTGCGCATATGCGTGTGCGCAAGTGCAGAATACGTTTTCGCGTGTGCGTTTAATGTATAACGGACGATATAAGCTAAAATTATCTAATTATCTATTTCAGTTAATGTTAATGATTGCGTTGTTCCTTAAACTTCGAATTGGATCCCGCTTATTATTTTTTGCAGACTGTAAGAGCAATTTTATAAAAGTAAACTTGAACTTTCGATTATGTCAAATAGAATTTCCGATGCTGGAACTTCCAAAGGATCTACAAAACGAAAGTATGTTTCAATGTCCAACAAACAGAAAGTGGAATTGCTGCAAAAAATGGATAAAGACATGAAGAATGTGACAGAGAGGTTAGTGAAAACGAAAAAATTTTGATTGACAAGTTAGTTGGTATTCTCGGCACAGCAATTAACGGGACTTGAACAGCGGAACTTTGTAACTGAACAAGAAATTATGTCTGTTTAGAGAATTAAAGAGAAAGTACTATCACATAAAACGAAGCAACTTAAACAACTTACATTGAAAGAAATGTTTAATAAAGTAAACAAATAAATATTAAGCTTTTTTTTTTTTTTTTTTTTTTTTTTTTTGTAAATTTTGATACCCTTTATATCATAATTATTCTTTATTTCATAAATTATGGTTTCATATTTTTTTTTTTTAGAATTTCTGCATGCCATCTTATGAGATTTAAACTGATGATCTATAATCCGGAATCGCCGAAGTCCCGACGAGTCCGGATTAACGACTTTTGACTGTATTGTAGTATTTCTGTTAGGATATTGAAGGATATCTTGCAGCATTTAAGGCAGCTTTCAAACGTTTGGGCATAGAGTAGTTCGCCAGCTTTTTTTTTTTTTTTTTTCTTTGAGGTGGGGAAGGGGTAATAATTCCCCATTCTTCCATCATTTTTGTATTTAGTTCAGTTTTAGTTTTTATGTTGTATCTTCATACACTAACCTCTAATTCTCTCCAAACGCGTTCCATCAGGTTTTAATCTAGTGACTAAGGTGGTGTTTTCAGAACTTTGGGGCAATTATAGATACACCAAAGGCTAAAGTTGAGGGTCATGTGCTTAGGATTGTTATCCTGATAAAAAATATAATACCCAAATCTTAGGCAGATAATTTGGTTAATCTTTGGATTATGGTAACTTTGCGATTTTTTGGCGAAAATTTGGCGACCAACCCTGCTACTGCAACCTGCTAGTTTTTGTTTGGACGCCATTTTGTTTTCACAAAGTAAAGGCACTTTTTTTTTTTTTTTATACTCAAAATTTTTTTCCAACAATCTGCTAGCCGAATTACGCTTATATTAGAACTTTTATGGAACAAAAGTGCTTAATCATGACAAAGATTAGATGCGAAATTGGGAGAAAGTGCAGAATCGCAAACTGCTTGCCGTGTTTTTAAGAATTGCACATACACGGTATCCATGTACACGTCAACCTATTTTCACTTAAAAAAACCATCCCAGAATTGCACAAAAATGGCATTGCGCACACTCTTACTTTATCATGTACACTGCTAAAGTCCTAGCTAGTAACCTTTATCGCCTTACCAAAATGTCCCCAAACTACCTGTTACCATATTCCAAAGATTTGCCAAAAGATTTTATCATCAATTAACTGTGAACAGCAATACCTATATCGGGAGCCTGTCAGTTACAACATTTCATAGCGTTATTTTATTTTGATGTACAGAAATTTCAGCATTAACCTTTTACTGTCATGCCTGAAATAATCTTGATCACAGCACTGGTACTCCAAAATGTTATGCCCGAATATGGCTCGGGCTAATTTTTGTTTTAGTGCATCATATTGTTATACCCAAATATATATCGTGAGAAGTTTATTTCGGCTTCAGTTCAACAGATGGCAGCATTTTACTGAAGGTTTCAAAGGATAGAGGTTAAAGTTCAAAGTGCGCGACATTTTAAAAATTTTTTGACTGCGAGGCAAACATTTCATTTTTGAGAAAAAAAAAAAAAATTGACAATTTTTGCACCCAAACCATCAAAATAACTTGACAGTTAAAAGGTTAATGACCAATGGTTCAAAAGCAGAATATGAACCTCTTTTATTCTGATGCTACATAAACCAATCTGTCTCGAACGCAAGATTTATCAACTCTATAAATTAACTTATATCTTAATTACCCAATATAAAATTATGATAGTATCAGAATCTTTTATTTGCATTATTTAATTACATACGTACCATTTACGGCTCTATTCTTATATGCGTCCTAATATCACCAAATGTGGCGATATGTGTTCAGCGCTGGTTTTTGGCATGATTGCATGTTGTATGGCAACCCTGTAGACATTGAAAGATCTTTTGCTGGAGTAGTTTAATTACTCGTTGGTTCGTGCCGTGCATGTTTTGAAATGGCCTATGTTGCAATCAGAAACGTGATGACAAGATTTCAGTCGCGTATTTTAAATTGTGTGCAAAGGAAATTTAGTATTAAAAGGTACAATGTCGGAGTTGTTAATGAGTCTGCTCTGTGTCTGAGAAGATAAGAGGGAAAGATAAAGTGGTGGAAGTTGTTGAATCGAAGTTCGGCAAAAGGAAATATCATCGTGACCATCCTGTTGAGGGGCAGTGGGTATTTGGAGGTGTAGAAAGAGGGTCTGGGAGATTATTTTTAGTGCCTGTGCATGATAGAAGTAGGGAAACCCTGACGCAGTATATTAAAATGTGGATTGAGCCTGGTACAACTATTTTTTCGGACGGACAAAAATCTTACAAAGTTTTAGAAGAAGGTTTTGAACATTTGTGAACCATAGTATGAATTTTCTGAATAGTGTATCTGGCTGTCATATAAATAGGATAGTGATTACGTGGCGGCATATTAAAGGCGGTATGAAATTGGTATTTCTGCTGTTCAAAAAAGCATTCATTCATGGTAAGTGCATTTTATTTTATTCTTGTTCTTATTTTGTAGAATGTCATGTTCATTGTTTTTTTACTACGAGTTTCTGTCGTTATTGTTGTTTTTTTGAATTGTTCAAAATTTATTTTACTTTATTTTTTGATTAGAGCGTAGTGCCTAGATTGTGCAATTCATAGATTTTTTTAAGTCTCGTTCATTGCCTAGATTGTGCAATCTGTAGATGTTTTCTTAAGTTAAAACATATCGATGTGTACATGGATTCTTGTCAAATATTTTTGGTTAGAAACTTTACGTTTTTGCTATCTAAATTTTTTGTTTTTGTTTTGGATTTTTAGCTTAAATTGTGTGTTCAAAACATGGTTTATGCATGTGCGAAAACCACGTACTTGGAGACATTTTAGGCTTAAAGTTCGAAATGTAGACAAAAAATTTAGATAGATATGGCCAAACATTTTTTACGAGAAATATGGCGACTTGAGGACGCATATAGCAGTAGTTCCCCCATTTACTTAATAAGAATACTTACTAGACTGTATCGTTAACAACGCTTTAACTAATCGAACAAACAGCATGCCAATCATCATTATAGGAAATATTGAAATAGAATTTCCGGCCATGTACATTATAAACAGATTCATTGGAACTTGTTTCAAAGGAGCCAATGCAATATCCCAGGATTTCTAAATAAATAAAGAACATTAACTAATTAGTTTGATTTAGACGACACAAAAAATAAACTTGTATGGATATGCAGACTTTTAAATGTATCAGCATTATATTTACTTTAACTATCAGGTTAGCATCCGTTTCTCTGCTGGCTTCAGCATGAACTTGTCCTAGAGATGAACTATAACCTGGAGGGGCAGGCAATTCAGAAAGCCGATCTGTTTTCGTTCTATTTAAAAACCCGATATTTATTAAATGAAGCAAAATATCTCGGAGAAAATAATTCTCATAAAATAACAGCTTGGAATTTTTTATAATATAGTAACTGTTAAGTAAATTCATATCCTAGAGCCAAATATACGTACCGGGAAGCAAAGGAGAAACACCATTTATGCCGTTTGCTCACCAATCTGTTTGATGACAAGGAAGCCATTTTAATTTTCTTTCGGATTCTTCATTGTTGCCACGATAAAAAAATTCCTGAAATTCAATTTTATAACTATTAAATATTTCTTTCTTCACATTTCTTTATGTAGTATAAAAATTACAATGATCTGACAGATGTAAAGATTTTACATATTAATTTATTTTCTGAAAGTGGTACTTTACCTCTATTTGGTATCAAGAATTTATAACAAAGTGCTTAATTAAGATAAAATAACAAGCCAAACAAGTATTAATTTAAACGTCAAACAACAATGATGGTTCGGTAAAACCATCGAAACTAGTCCTGTGAAAATTTGCACATATAACGATGATATTTTTTTTTTTTTTTTTTCTTTTTTTTTTTTTTTTCTTGACTTCTAAATTCAAGTTCACTGGTAGTTTTCTTTTTAATGTTCAGCTACAGAAAAACATTCAATTTCCTAAAAATAAAAACTTTCCTTTCCAAAAAATTTCATAAACATACAACTTTTCTGGAGCAGTTAAATAAATATATGAAATGTATTATTGCTGTGTATCCCTCTCAACTCGTTGTGTTTTTTTTTGCATGTGTGTTTGTATTGCAATGAAAAAAGTGAAGTTAATCCGGATTTGTCTTCCGAAACAAATATACATCTGGCAGAAATATTTGGCAAATAATTGAAAAATTAAAAGTAAGATTTGATTATTTTTATTGATGTATATTTGTTATATCTAACAAAAACCAGTTCACAACTTTTTTTTTTTTTTTTTTTAAATATGGAAAAGATAGTATCTCATTTTATTGCTTGGTTCTGTCTTGTGAATGAGAAATGTTCTCAACAGAGAAGCAATTCATCATTGTTACTGCAACAAGTACTACAAAAAAATACCCATTTTTAAATTTAAGGGCTGTTTAATAAAAAATTGCGAGTTACAGCTTTCCGTGCGACATGTTGTGTGACAGGAACGTGGGCAGTGAGTACATTAATTGAAGAAAGATTTTTTTTAAAAAAATTGTGGTTTTCATCCGCAGAGAACCCGTTCGCGCCGTTGCATTTTTACTCCCCAAGCTCGATGAGCCGAGCCGTAAACATGATTTTTAGTGCATGTAAATTCAAGTTAGCAGACAAAACAATATGTTAAGCATATGGTAGTAAAATTTTACAGATAATAAGCATGTAGATGTAAAACTAACCGGTTTAACGTGATATACGATCAAGTTAGCATAGAAAAGAATATATTAAGCATAAGACAATATATAAACATTTATAACGGAAATAAAAATTCATTTAAAAAATATAAATTAGTATTAATGTACTGAAATTACCTGGTTAAATGAAAAAAAATTGTCTTACATTCCAGTTAACATAGAAAACAATATATTCCTTACACCAGCAGTGTTTTGCTAATTTTTGATGACCATGGTGATGCATCAAAGTATTCTGTCATCTTAGATAATCAGTAATATTTTTAATTTCAATTTAATCATCTATTTATGTCACACCTGCCATTCTCTGAAAGGTTATTGTTAGAAAAGCATTAACAATATATTATCTTGTTAAAATTTTGTGCCATAAAAATTGATTTATTCTCATAATTTTAGATGACAATACCAATAATAAAAATAAAAGCATTACTTAATTATTTAAAATGCGCATGTACATTTTTGCGGCCTACGGAAACAAATTATTTGGTTGATCTTTGGATTATGGTAACTTGGCGATTTTTTGGCGAAAATTTGGCGACCAACTCTGCTACAGCAACCCTGTATTTTTTTTTTTTTTGCTGCCATTTTGTCTTCACAAAGTAAAGACGTGTTTCTTTTCTTTTTATTTACTGAACTTTTTTTCCAACAATCTACTAGACGAATTACACTTATGCTAGAAATTTTATGGAACAAAACTGCTTAATCATGACAAATATTAACTGCAAAATTGGGAAAAAGTGCACAATCGCAAACCCCAGGCACGTTTTTCAGAATAGCTCATACACATAAACTATTTACACGTCGACTTATTTTTACTTATAAAAAAAATCCCAGGATTGCACAAAAATGGCATTGCACACACTCTTAACTTTATCCATCTACACTGCTATTTTCTCATAAATTACAAAAATTTGCACGAAAATGCAAAAAAATTCTGTGAATCTTTAAACTCGGTAAATAGCACATATGTGAAATTACCTGATCGCGAAAAAGTATATACCCTTTCCAAGGATGAACATTTCGACGTATAAAATAAATAAAATATCCAAAAACTTTTACCTCTAAATTATCTATTATATTATAAACGTCACCAACGAATTCATACCGCAAACATTACAAATACTTAGTGTCAAATATTTAAATTATTTCCGTGCATGTTTACTTCAACTGAAACGTATACCAAATTCCTACAAACATAAAATTCACAAAATAACTATCATTTAATTAAAATATCACTAAACCATGTACACGTCGACTTATTTTTACTTAAAAAAACATTCCAGAATTGCACAAAAATGGCATTGCACACAGTCTTCACTATATCCATGTACACTGCTTTTTTCTCATAAATTAGAAAAATTTCACGAAAATGCATGAAAATTTTGTGAATCTTTAAATCCGGTAAAAAGAACATATATGAAATTACCTGATCGCGAAAAAGTATATACCCTTTCCAAAGATGAACATTTCCACATATAAAATAAATAAAATATCCAAAAACTTTTACCTCTAAATTATCTATTATATTATAAACGTCACCAATGAATTCATACCGCAAATATTACAAATGGTTACAAATACTTAGTGTGAAATATTTAAATTATTTCCATGCACATTTATTTCCGCTGACATGTATACCAAATTCCTACAAACATATAATTCACTAAATAACTATCATTTAATTAAAATATAATTAAATTCAAAAACACTACTTAAAATATAAATAAGCACATACATTAAATTAATAAAAATTAGCTTACAATCTTAATTACTTTAAACTAAATCATTGCTAATAACAATTTTCCAATAATACCATAATTCTTTATTTACTCTTTACATTTAGAACAATGCATAAAAATAATATCCTCAAATAATTAAAAATACTAACTTACCTAATCTTCTTCAGAATCTTGATTACGTGGCGGATACACTTTTCTAATTCATTCAATAAAATTATTGAAAGATACGCCTTTCAATCCCACTAAATACCCATTTCGAATTCACTTTAGTTAGGGCCATGGGATCCAAAAAGTAACCAACACTGTTTCACACAACACAGAATAAAGCTAAATGCAAAATTTCCAGATTTCTCCCCTTTTCCGATTAAAGAACTGTAATTCGTCCATTAATGTCACAGGACATATCTCATGATCTCTCATTTCCCTCACACAAAATAATGCGTAATCGGAACTGAGTACTTCTCACATTATTACCAAAGTCCTATGTAGTAACCTTTATCGCCTCCAAAATGTCGCCAAACTACCAGTTACCGTATTCCAAAGATCAGCCAATTATTTTAGAGGTTGGAAACCTCATGGTTCTAAGAGCTGTTAATAACTAAGAACACAACATGAACAGCCAAAGCCTCCTGAAGATAATTTCAGGCGGCTTTGGAACAGCCGTGTTACAAATTAGCATTCACACCTCCTTTCATTCTGAACCGAGAACCGGCATCTATCTACAAAAATATTTCTGTCTATTCGTTGTTAAAAAATTCAGAAAAAATCATAATAAATAAGAGAAGAATAATATAAATCTGCAAATGCGAACAACGACAGTGATAATTCAGCAAAATGAACGCAAGACAAGCGAATAGGATAAATCCGCTGGGTTATCAGGTTTGAACTATTATCGCCAAAGTTGGCGATGTTTACATTTACCGGGTTCTCTGCGGAAGTGCTTCCGAAAATTGGCCTCATACTCAATGGATGAAATGGCCCACCAGCGGCTAAGCGGTAAAGTTGCTGAACACTGGTAGTTAAATACTGTAACTGGAGTACATATACTGTTAGGGAATATGTCACCTTTTTTCTTTAAAAATTCTTTCCATCAGACCTGATTTTTATTTTTAAGTTAAGCTGTCATTCAATAATTATATGAATCATTTTGTTAATAGTACAAAAGGTTTTTGGCGCTGATTTTAGTTACACTTAAGTACAGTTCTGCATCATGTGCCATCTAAATTGAGATGGTGGTTATTATATAAGTTACTGTTTCCTGTAGATTACTATGAAATAATAGGTTTTCATCCGCAAAGAACCGAATCATAAAATGGAAAAAAATATATCTTAGGTTATTAAAAGCATCTTGAGTATCGTAAATGCTAGGAATTTATTAGGGGTTTTCTTCTAGAAAGAACCTGTTGGTGACACTGCCTGTTTTGTCACCAGGCTTGCAAACAGTAAAGGTATTAGCGATATACGGTTAAGTTTTGAAATGAAACATGATATAATAATGCATATATAAGTCAGATTAATCATGAACATGATACTTGGATATTAAGCATATGCAAGTTAAGTTTAGCTGAAAATTAGCTGATTAAATGTATCAAGCACACAAGTCAATTTTAGTGTATTAAATTCCTAGAGTTAAATTCATTTAGCAGAAAAGCATGGTATTAAACATATGACGTTAAAAATAAGCTGATTAAAATTTAATACAATTCAATTTAGGTTGGTAGAAAAGCATGATGTTAAACACCTTAAGTAAAGATTCGCATAAAAAGTAAAGTAAATTTTAGTATTATTACTGAAACATATTTCTAATTCTATTAGTAGTTTTAAAAGATTTGTATACTTATACCTAGCAATATTGCATTTCTTTTTCCAGATTTTTATGCTGCCCTCCCTCTTTTTTTAAAACCTTATGCCATATCATCATAGCTATAATTGGATGTTACTGTTAAGTTGTGACCTGGATCTCTTGCCATTTCTTAAAAATGTTCATGATGATCACAGTAAATGCAGATACTTTGTATTCTCATCTTTCTCACCATAAGAAACTTCTAGCTGGACTTCTTTACGTTTATGGTTAAGCAAGTCTTGCAGTTTTTCAGTATTAATATAATGTTGAGGAGTATGTGTGTTTATTTCATTGCTTCTTTGCTCTTTTATTTTTCATTGCTTCGCTCTCTCAATTATTGTTTTATACACAAACATACTTTCTGTATTGATGTGTCATCAAAACAGAAAGTATTCTAAAATGTAGCACAGTCAAATACCGAAAATCCGCCAACTCCTGAAATCCACGTTGCCTCTCAAAATATAAACATTCAGTTTTTAGGTTCCAGAAACCGCAACATTGTGTATGAAATATCAAAGAAAAAATACAGATTCCTGGAATTCTGGAATACCGTATAATGACGTAATAATTACTGAATAATAATGAGTCATAACGGAAATGCCAAATTATTGACATCATGATAAAAGTTTTCCTCCCCTCTAATCTGCATTGAGGTAAAAAAGCAGACGATTCACTCAACTCTTCTTTCAAGTTCACGATTCACATATTTTCTGAGCTTTGTCATTTCACGAGATTATTTAGTGCTACCTTTTTTTTATCCCGGATATTTTGTGGATAAATTAAGAATATTTTAAATTTCAGCCCTTTTTAATACAATTACAGATAAGAAACACACTCATGATTTTACTGCTTGCAACGTTGAAAAACGTAAACACGTTGTATTAATGCTAATGCAAAAAGTGCAAATTCTGCAAAAGATGGAGACAGGTACTAGCAGAATTGTATGGAATTGCGATACGATTGTGTATGATATACGGAAAAATAAAGAAAAGCTGTTGAAATTTTACAGCAACAGTAATTCTAACATAGGAATCTGAAACCGGAAATCTTTGCACGAGGCGAAATCAGCAAACCTCAATGCTGTGTATATATAATACACTGAATAATATAATCAATTTATATATGTAATAATAACAGAGTCGTAGCTAGGGTTTTCAGCGCCCAGGGACAACTGAAGATTTCGCGCCCCCTACTGCGTGCCAAGGATGGAAAACATTTAATTCTAAAATGTCGTAACATCAGTTTGGCGCCCCTTGGATTCTGCGCCCGGGGACAGATGCCCTCTCTTGCCCCCCTCTAGCTATGCCCCTGAATAATAATTTAATGCATATAATAAGTTATTGCAATAATGTATATAATAATTTAATTAAATGTATCTAATACGCTTATTTATTTTGCACTTTTAGTCTGAATATTATGATTTATCTTTTTTGTCCTGAAATCCGCACAACCTCTGGTCCCAAGCTTTGCAGATTTCTGGAATTCTACTGCACTTTTGTAATGTATGATGGTACTCCCATCTGTTTCATATTGCATGGCTGAGTTCATAATGTGAGACATTTTTTGACTCGGGCACATATTCATTATGTAGGACATTCACTGTGCGAGACATTTGTTATGTAATGTATTTGCATATGCAATGCATATGAAATCTTAGAATCTCATTGTTCATTATGACAAATAAATGCTTACTGCATAATCAATGCAATTTTTTTTTAATATTTTTCTTTAGATGGAAGATATTAGTTTTGAAGATGTTGAAGAGACAATAAAATTAATAAAAGAAGTACCACAGCTAGCAGGTAATGTTTCTGATACAGTTCAGAATGTTTTGAAAAGAATGAAAAATAATGAGCTAGAGACCCATAAGGTATGTACTTTGAAAAAAGAAAATGTATTCTTTTACTAAATTGTGTTATAAGTTTTTTAAATAATTATTTGTCTTTTATCAAATGACTAGCATATGAACTAAGTATGATGGCCAACCACTCTTTCAACTTTTTAGATTTATTAAATTCCATGTTAACCCGTTCAGGACCATGGTCATGTATTTGTAAACAAGCGATTTTCCCTTCAATGCCCACAATATCATATACTTTGAAGAGCCAAAATATTATGACCATCGACTCAATAACCCATTACATGACCTTTGACCTGCAAAACAGCTGCAACTCGCCTTCTTCATGGATGCCACAAGTTCTTGGTAGATGGAGACAGGTTGTACCAAATATCTAAACAGCAGTCACCCAAAGTCGAGATATTCCAGCATCGTGATGTTTGAGCTCTGAGCTGCCGCTCCATGACATTCCAAATGTGCTCTATTGAGGTCAGATCCAGCAAGTTAGATGACCAGGATATTAATTGGAATTCATTCTTATGCTTCTTGAACCACTTCAACACAATTCGAGCCTTGTGACACGGGGCGTTGTTGTGCTGGAAGATTCCATTTCCAGTTGGGAAGACAGATGCGATGTGAGGGTGCAACTGATCTGCAGTTATGTTCAGATAGGTCGCAGCTTTTCATGGTCTGTTCTACCACAACTAAGGGTCCCAGAGCCACCCACAAGAATGTCCCCCAAAGCATAATATCGCCGTCACCAGCCTGTGTATGACCTCAGGATTCGTAGCGGTCCTTACAAGTGCTTATAAGTCCTTATATTTGAAAATAAAATATAAAGACCCTTATAGATGCTTACTTTTTCTTTAAAGCCCTTATTTTTTTTTTTTTTTTTTTTTTTGTTTTTGTTTTTAGTGCTTATTTTTTGCTTTTAGTTCTTTTTTTTTTTTTTTTGATCCTTTTTTTTTTTTTTAATGAACGCGCATTTTTTTGCTGTACCAAAGCCGAAACTAAATAAATAACTTTTCTTCCTAATATGCAACGTCAGATGGTGAATCATACTCCCGGAAATTGCTTTTCCCCCCTTTCTCTGCATTAACGTAACCTATGGTGCACGCGAGAGTACAGACGGGTGCACATCGTGCTATTGGTTAAAGAATTGCGAAAACGGTAGACAATTCCGGTACACTCGGTATTCTTTTCCTCCCACCCAAATATTACACATGTTTGAATTTCTAGCAAGAATTTAAGGCTCTAGTGTAGAATTGGGTGCCCCTTTGATTAGTGACAAATTTTTAAAAAATTTTGGCGATGGAACCTCATTTCTGGTTCCCATGATAGTTTTAATATTTAGCTTCCTGATTTTTTTTAAATGAAAATAGATTGATGTGTACATGGACAAATTTAAAACAGTGCACAATGTCTAGTTTGTGCAATTCTGCGATGTTTTTTTAAGTGAAAAAAGATTGATGTGTACATGGACACAGAGTTTGTGCAATTCTTTGACTTCTTATTTTGGTTTCGTGTAGCGTCCATCTTGAAATTGCGCTTTCTTGGTGCCGATCTTGGCGTAAAAAAAATAATCGCCAATAAACAAGGGGCACCCAATTGTAAACTTTTACCAAATTTAATAATTTGCATTCTCGTTCCGCGTGGTCAGTACATATTCGTGTTTATTATGATCGTTATGCTTATATTATGAGCATATGCATGAATATTTTATAATAATATAGTTGCAGTAACTGCTGAAGTATAGATAAACTTCCAAAAATGGGTGTGTTTTACACAGATTAGCTTTCTAAGGAATAATATTCAGAATGGCTTAAATAAAAGGAAAGTAATCGAATAGTCAAAAAAAAAATTTTTTTTTTTTCCCCGGTACATTAATTATACAGTACAGAGGTTGGGAGGTTCTCCCCTTTCTCCGCAAAATCTAATATTAAAAGTTCTATTCCGGAAACTTAATGCAGTCTGTTCAAAATTAGAATTAAAAACACCCCAGATTAGTAAGTCTCTTTCTTTTTCTTTATTTAGTTCTTTATTCTCCGAATACTGGCAGCTGTCATTCCGATTCCGATTGCGTAATATCACGTATGGAAGAATTACGCCGCACGTATTGCGCAATAACGTTTGCGGTATTTTGCAGAGATAATTAATTTTGATGTTCAGTCTGAGATTTATTTATGAACACTTAAAAGAGTTTTACTGTGCTTTCTAAGCAGAATATTTCTCAGTTCCGTTGGTCTATTTTTATATGATGCACATATCGAAATGTCAAAATCATTTATTTAGCCGAGAAATCTAAAGAACGGCTACAATCTCCCCCCCCCTTCCTCTTTTTCCAGTTACGCTCGACTATATGGAATATTCGGCAATTTCCGAGTATGCGGGTTAGTTAAGCTTTTACTGTTAAAGGAATGACTGCATGTATTGAAGCAATTTCCCGTCTCCTGATTTCAGAAATGTGCCTCTTTTTTACTTAAATTACTTTGCTTGGAATATATGTTAAGGGAAAACTGTTATGCAATGAAAATTTAGAAAATGTTCAGAATTTTGATTTAAGTTAAATTATTTAAATATTAATATGAGTGGAAAAATAAATTGTATTTATTATTAGGTGCCAAACGAATACAATTAATATGGCTTATTATTATTTATTTTCTATATTTTGAACTAAAATTTCATCATTAAATCTTGTAACATAGTTTAGTTCTGCATAGTTTTTTTTTTTTTTTTTCTGTCATTGTAAACTAATTCTGTAAATTGAACTGTCATTTAAAATTTAAAAAAAAGAGAAAAAAAGTGGTACTATTCTGTTTTGAGGGCCGTAAAAAAATTACAGCGAAAATGTATGCGCAAAAGCGCCAAATCTAGCAAACGCGCCTATTTAACAGCGCGCCAAATCTAGCGTACGTGCTGATTTCAGATTGCGTAAGAAAAGTCGGCAATAGAATTTGGGGTAAAGTGCAGAATCATCCACTGCTTGACGCGTTTTTAAGAACTGCACATACTCAGTATCCATGTGCGCATCGACCTATTTTCACTAAAAAAAAAAATTCCCAGATATTGCACAAAAAATGGCACTGTGCATTTTGCACTTTTGCACAAAAATGGCAGTGCGCACACCTTTGACTTCTATCTGTGTACACATTGGTCTATTTTCAATTTAAAAAAGTAAAATAAAATTGACAAAAACCCTAATTGTTTTTACCCTTGTAAAAAGCGGCAAACAAATAAGTGAGCTATTCTGCACTTCTGAATTTCGATTCTGAATATTTTCAAAGAAAAGGCATCATTCATTATAGAAAATTATGTTTGAACTGATGCTAAACCAAACGTTTAAAGTTTAAATGAAATTATGCTTTAACGATAAGTCAGTAGCAAAATAGCGATGCAGGCATCCCATTCAGTTATGTTTAGCAATTTTTATATAAATTATAATAATAAAAAAGTATTATATGAAATTAACCTTTCATCTAAATTAAAACATCAATCTTAGATAGTTATTTACTATTATACTTCCTTTCTTGCCGCAATTATTTTTGGCAGCATTGGCGTCAACAATAGTTTGGCGATTTTTTACGGCCCTCGAAACCGAATAGTACCAAAAAAGTTAATTGTTTTCCATGGTTGAGGTAATGCATTCTCTTAATAAATATTGCATTGCTCATATTTTAAATTACAGGTCTAATTTTTCTTTTAAGGTTATGCAGTTGTGTATAATGTAATTAGACAGGTGCTTATTTTTTCCTTAAAATGTACTTGAAAAGTGCTTATAGGTGCTTATTTTTTTAACTAAAATGTGGCTACGAACCCTGGACCTGCTATAGAGGGGGGGAGCAGCAGTTTGCCTGATACGACCATTGACATGATAAATGAGAAATTGTGATTCATCCGACCTGGCAACTGTCTTCCACTTATCCATGGTCCAGTCTCGATGTTCCCCAGCCCCCTGAATACGTAGTTGACAACAATGCTTGGTCAACAGAGGCATATGAGTGGAACTTCTGCATAGTCCCATATCCAACAGTGTCCTCTAAACTTGTATTCTGAAACACTTGCACTTGAATCTGCATTGTATTGGACTATCAGCTGAGCCACTGTGTGTTGCCGATTTTGCTGTACTAAGCGGGACAGTCTCCGATGTCCTTTTTCTTTGATGGTGCATGGATATCTAATACCTTAGCATTTGCTGCTGGTTTCACTGTTATTTATCCATTTTGCATGCATACTTACGACAGCATATCATGAGCAGCCTACCAGTCATGTAGTTTAGGAGACAGTTGTTCCGAGTCTTTGGGCCATTACCTGTGTATTGAATTCGCTTAGATCAGCAACCTTTCCCATCATTTGCAAAAGCAAGTGCAAGAATGATTCCTTACCTTCTGCAGTAGCAGTTAAATACCATTCCTACTTGAATCATGTGCCCTCGACATCATCCAGAGGAGCTCATTGAAAAACGTCGGGATGATTAAATCAGAATGTTTTATTTAAGTTTTTAAATAACACTATATAAGTCCATTATATTTTTTAATAATGCTTCACAAAGCTTGGACCTTCAATATGCCCTTTCAAGTCTGAATTTTTTGGGGATTGTTGTTGTTAAATTTGGGAACTTTGAACATGTAAACAACTGCAAATTTGTCATTTATATACCACATAATAACAAAAAATGTACAGGTCAACTTTTACATTTGCTAAAAAACTGTAAAACAAATTACAAGATAGATAACTAGATGCTAATAAGATTTTATAAATGCAAATAGTTCATTCATTTTGTTATATTTATGAAATTTATTTGGTCACATCATAGTTTTACTAATAATTTGTTCCGTTATTTTTCTTGATAGTGTAGGTGTATAATGTTTTTATTAAAATGAGATTTTCTTTAAAATTCGCAAATTTTTTTTTAATATCCCAAATATTTTATTACAGTAATGGTAATAAACTATGTTTCAGCAAATTTAGTTGCTGTAATGAAATTATGCTTAATGGGGAATTGCCTGGTCATGTGCGTACATATACTTTTGGAGTATGTGGGGGGGGCTGAAGGAAACCTTCTTCCTCCTTTCAGCAGTCCTCAATGGGTTAATGTACTTTTCACAAAAACAATATTTTCCTTTAACGATAGGCAAAATTTACTCTATATTTGATACCCATCTCAAATTAAAAACGTTTTATAACATTTTGTCTTTTTCAGGAGCAGATTATTCTGCATAAATATACTAATTAGGTTACACTATTACTGTAAATATGCAGTACGGCAAACTTTGAGGAACATCTATGAAGGGAAAATAAGGAAGAAACAAATATAATGTATATATAGTCTTAGATAATGGAGGAAATTAGAACCAGAAATTAGAAAAAGTTAATTTAACAGTAATTAGACTTAAACTTTAAATTATACTATATCTCTTGCATTTAATATATTATCTTCAAAAAAGTACCTTTGAAGAATATAGGTATTTTAGTACATCATTTTATGCTGGACATTAATTCTGAACTTTTTTCCTAACAAACGCAAAATTAAACAAAGAGGAAATACAGTCCTTACTTCATGATATACCACTTTTAAGATTCTTTTTCTAACTTGGTACAAAAGAACAATTTCTCAGCATTTTTCTTATATAAGTATGTTTATTTGATTTAAAGCAAATGTTTACCATTTCAAATATACAGTTTGAATAATGATGATGTTTGTTTTTTATTTTGTAATTACTCTGTAAGAATACTTTAAAATAAATATCTGTGTAATTAAATAGACAAAAAAGTGAGGTTTGTAGTTAAATATTCATTTTCACAAAAATTGTTCAACTAGCAAAATTTTGTCTTTTTATTACAGATCAAACAAAAGTGTAGAATAAATCAAAATCATAAATTTTGATAATTTTTTATTTACTATCTCTTTTCTAAAATTTCTTTTTCATTTCTTTCTGGATGAGTATAAAAATTTTACATTAACCCATTCAGGACCAGCTTCGCGGATACGTGACACATCGATTCCAACTAGCAAAATTTAGTCTTTTTATTACAGATCAAACAAAAGTGTAGAATAAATCAAAATCATAAATTTTGATAATTTTTTTATTTACTATCTTCTTTTCTAAAATTTCTTTTTCATTTCTTTCTGGATGAGTATAAAAATTTTACCTTAACCCATTCAGGACCAGCTTTGCGGATGCGCGACGCAACGACTCCACTCCTACCAGCCCAGCGTCCCATATACGTCACACAGCAATTCTGCTCCTACGAGCCCAGAGTCTTGTATATGTTACCGTGAAAGACCGAAATTGGAGAATGTCGACTTTCACCGGAGAATATCAACATTCACCAGATACGTCGGTGAGAGACTGACTATTTCACTACATTCTTGTATATTCGGACCCTCACCGGTGTATGTCGACAATCACAGATATGCTCTGGTGAAAGTCAAAAAGAAAGGTCATAAAGTGCGATAATAGTTTAAGTTGTTGCAATAAATAAGATTTGAATCACATAATTTAGTAAGTTTTTTATTACTGTTATTTTATTTTCTCATTTAGAACGTACTGTATAATTAAGTAAGTTTTTAACTTCTATTATTTTCCTTTCTCATTTTGAATGTATTGTGTGTTTTAGGTTCTCATGTTCTTAAGTTCTTATTTCAAGTTTCAAGTGCATTTATTTGCGACTGAATTACGGAGAAGAAAATATAATATTGTTATATGTTCAACATTCACCATTAGTACATGGTGAATGTCAACATTGACCGGTGTAAGTCAGAAATAAGAGTATTTGGAAAATATTTCGGACATGCACCAAGATACTATGTGAATGTTGACATTCACCGGTGAAAGTCGACATTCTCCAGATTTCGATGTTTCATCATAATATATACATGACATTAAAACGAAACGATTTATTTGAATTTTTAAAAACCAGTAAATGGAGCTAAGTGGTAATTGTTTTCACGTTGGTTGATTCATACGGCATTTGACCTTCATGTACTGGCATTAGTTTCTGTTTTGTGCTTCTGGTTTTGAGAGATTTATTGAAATAACGAACTAGAAATCACTGCTCTTTATAAGTGTGCCTGTGAATTAAAGGGGCACAGGTGTTTTTGTTTATTTCATTAGGATTTTCTTTTTTTTCTCCTATTTATTTTGAAATTTAACTTAAGCGTTCTTTGTTAATTAAAAAGTAACATTACAACATTATTACAGAAGGGAAAAGATTATCAGCTTTCTCAATGCATAATGTGTCTTGCTCGCATTTCTCAGGAAAGAGGCTATTATATATAATACCTTAAATGGCCATTATGTATAATAACACAGGCATTATATTTTGGTATGTAATGTATTTACTTTAAGTATAATGTAATTATATATAATGTATATATTGACGTGATCAGTAATGGATATCCCGTCAGTGGGGGGTCTTTCCTTGATCACTTTTCGGTCATCCTTAATGCTGTTTTCAATTTAGAAAACAGGAAGTTATCTAATATAAACCTGATGTCACACAGGGTTTGAGGAAGAAATATTTCTGAGTGTCTTTTGAAGAAGTTTTGGGACATGTGGCGGGGTTATATTCAGTTTCATTACATTAGCCATAGGTAAGAGACCTTACTTAAAAAATTTGTCTAAAATCACCAGACACTATACCTTTCCATCTAACTGGAAGACAGTTTCCGAAAATTTACGTTGACGGAAAAGTAATAAAGGTAAGAGAAGATTCGTTGTGTGCGCTAAAACCAAGGAAAAACAAAAGCAAACAACGTATTTTGAGTGCGAAATTATGCAATGTAGGACTCTGTGTCGATCCTTGTTTTGAGTTATTTCACACACAGCAGAATTTTTTTAATTTGAATTTAATCACCTACAGGTAATTCTTGTTTAGTTTTGCAATTTTTTTTTCATGTTTATAGTATTTATTTCTGCATGTGTAGATATGATTTTAGTACTTTGCCTGTTTATTTCTATTAATGTGATATTCTTTATATTAATACACATTAAAAACAAGTGCATTAAATACACACTTTAAAAATTGATGTTATAATATCAAAATGCTGATTTTTTATTTATTTATTATTTATTTATTTATTTTTCCATGTAAAATTAGACTTAACTGCTGAAAATGTGCGAGCCAGTGGCAACGACCCATTACAGCAGGCCCCGGTCCCATGACTGCGCTTCTTTCTTCTAGCGCGGGTCCTTAAGGAGTTAATTTGAATATGACCAGTTGTCTTGTGCTGATATATTATTTTCATATACTTATTTTTTTAATTAAAATTTCTTTATTGCTATTCAGGGGATAAGTTTTCTAACCAAATTATGCTGTGTAACCAGTGATTTTACGTTAATTTGAATATGACCAGTTGATTTGTGTTGATATTATATTATTTTCATGTGCTTTATATTTTTAATTAAAATTTCTTTCTTATTATCTTTCAGGGGATAAGTTTTCTAGATCTTAAAAATCAAATTATGCTGAGCTATGTGACCAATCTTAGCTACATTGTCATGAAAAAATTACAAGGTGAAAAAATTGAGGATGATCCTGTGGTTGAAAGATTGGTTGAATTAAGAATAGTAAGTTATAGAGTAAAAAATTTGTTTTATTTGTTAGACTTACCAAATTGTAAGCCAACATATTTGTGGTAAATGTAACTGCTAAAAAGACAGACTATATAGAATAAAATTTTTATATAAATATTACTTTTCAGCTGCTTTATTTTTAAGATAATAATAAAAATGTGTTGTTGTTTTTCTCTATTCATTTAATTAGTTTCCTGTCATGCAGGTACATATAGTTTCTTCTTTTTATCTCCTTCACAGTTATGTTCCTTGAACTGTTCTTTTAGGTGAATATTAATGGGAAAACCTGCTTCATTGCTATTGAAGTAATTCATTATTATACTCTTGTTCTGGGAGCTTCTTTATCCCTTGAAGCTCCACCGCTGGATGATTGGTTTAACTACTGACCACAAGGAGTTCAGTTCAGCTTTAATCCTAAGCAAATGATTAATTTTCATCATTTTCCCCATATTTAATGTGAGTGAGCTTGTTTTTCTTAGAAAGTCTGAAAAGGTGTCGTTCTCTTGAGGGTCTATAAAGGCATCCTTTCCTTTAGCTTTTGTTTGCTTTGCCATATCCAAGTATCCTAATCTAACCATCTTTACCCTTTGAAATACTAATGCGATGTCTACTTTTTAAGTTCCGAAGATACTTACTGCTGTTTTTAAATTTGCTGCTATGCCAATTCGCAGTTCATCTACATCCGAAAGGAAAAGAGATTTCAAAGCTTCTCTGGAGTAAATTTCAGTTCTTCATTTTCATCAAAAGAGTATTCAATGTAATACTAAACTTTACTGTAACAGCATTCTTTCATGTGAGCAAAAAATTTAATCTTTCGAACTGAAATGATGTCTATGAAAAGAAAAGTAAAACAACTGGCCAATTACTTATTCAACTCTGCAATGTTCACAGTAATAAGCTTTAAATCCATACTGAAGGGGCAGATATGAATTGTAATTGTGTTGAGATATCTAAAAAAAATTTCCTGCCTGCATCTCTTCTTTTTCCCATGTGTTACTATTCAAGAACTTATTTTTTAACTGCAGATCGAGTTGCTATAAAAATGTGGTCACAACATTATTATTGCATTCTCCATATGTAGTTATGGCATGTCCATTTAGCAATTAAAAGATGTTTTCTCATGGTGTAACTGGTAGCATGTCAACAGTTTTGTTAGAGCATTTGTGTGGTTAGCAGCATGACCAGCTAGCAGTTGGAACTGGTTTAATCCTGATGAGCATGTAACTGATTTTTCATGATTCGTGCTTCAAAAAGCTTGATATCCGCATAATGTCATGAAGTTTCAGATACGTAATTAATATTTTAATCTATAATATGAGATATGGATATTTAAGGTGAAAAAATAAAACTGATGGAAAATACTCTTAAATTCGACTTAAAGCAAGGAAGTGATTACACTTTTATATACAAAGGCTTTTAAAGAGACTTACTTTTATTATTATTTCATATTTATTTTAATAAATGAATTAGCGTTGTTATTTGATAGAAATCAACTGATCTCAAACATTTTTTTTTTTTTCCTTTTATTAACCTAACATTAGATTCTCTTTTTCCCCTTCATTTTTTACTATCACTGTAAATTTAACAAAAGGCTTCCTAATTTCATGTGTGACTGTGTCTCGGTGAATTATCTTGATCTTGGCTATGTTAATATTATATTAACAGTAGTAATAAGAAGAATTTTATTTTGTCACTCAATCACTTGTAACTATAACTAGCATTTCCTACACTTCAAAACTTTTAAACTTACTTTTAACCAGCCTTCAAAATTTATTTTGGGTTTCGAATTCATAAAAGGTAATTGTAAAAAACATCGCATGTGTATAAACCATATGCCTATCCCATATTGCATACAATAATTTAACTAAAAGAGTAAGGTGAAATTTTACAAATTATTACCTCTCAACAAGGATCCTCTAAAATCTTTTGACTCTAAAATTATTTCATTATTATGCATAATAACACTGCTAAGCTTTTTAAAATATAAGGCCTCTGTCAGTTGCCAAAGTTGGCCAAGCTTTGAGAAGTCAATGATTTACTGCCTCTTAAAATTATGCATGCTTTTGCTATATTCTGTTTATTTTCTTTTTCTGTATATAATGGAATATATTTGACTAGTAAACCATGTTAATGTGTTACTCAATAAAACCCTCTGATTTGGACAGTCCTTATTCAGAATTAAGCAAAACAGCAGCCTCATGCTTTGAATAGATTTTAATTACAACTTTAGCAATTTTGAGTGTGAACAGGTACAGGTTTCTCTTTGTCAGGAGGGGGAAAAATCTGCAAATATGGGAGTAGCCAGGATTGTATTTAAAAACAAAGGATGAAAAAAGTAAACATCTATCTAGGGAAATAGTAATGAAATATGAAAGGTTAAAATACTAGAATTTTAAGGACTCAATAGGAATTAATGTCATCAACTGTGCAAGATAAATTTTTGTAAATGTTGAAATGCTTCAAGGAATTCCAATTCACCAATCAAGAAGCTTTATGTATAATTTTATGCTGACCCAAAATTAAAATTATAACATAATTTCCAACTATGATTAACTAATAAAGATTTGTTTATTTCTTTTAAGAGATATGTGTTTCTTGACACAAAATTTAATGTTCTTTTGGCTAATGTATCTCAAACCACTATATTGTCTTTTTTGAAAATAAGACATCCTCCGAAAATAAGCTCTATCGTGATTTTTGGAACTTTTTGTAAAATAAGACATCCCCCAAAAATAATCCCTAGTTAAAATAATGTGACAAAAAGAATTCGTTAAAAAATGCTGTTGATTTATTAAGTATAAGTAATAATATGTTTAACTTTCCTAATACTCGTATTTCAGAGAAATGTTTAAAACAAAATATTCCGAGAAAATATTGTTTACCTCTACAGTTCGTTTCAAATTAATTCTTGGAATTTATCTTGACCAGTTCACCGTTTGCCCCGAGAGAGATACGTTCACAGGAAAGGCGTCGGCAGACTCTCGTCGGGGTAAAATTTGGGCTGAAACTGTAACCCCCGAGACACATACGATGCAAAGCGACCTTTTTCCAATAGACACAGAATGAGTTGAAAATCAAAAGGGGTGATTGATGGGGGTTACTTATCTTCTCAGCGGCGTCGCATTAGGATCACAGCGGGACTGTTTCAGGAAAGTAAAGGATGGGGACACTTTTTTCGAATAGCGCTACCCCCTCAACATATCTTATAAGATCCACAACAGCTTTCTCCCTTTCTATTAACGAACAAAGGGATTTGAATGCTATCTTTTCAATTCTCAACAATTCAATTCTTCTCTTTTGTTACAGGCCATCAAAAAGAAAATAAAACAAAACTCAAGGTACATTTCAAATACTAGCTGATGCTTTTATTTTTACTTTATATAAAGCTTTTTCTTGACAATTAAAAATTACATTTACATTGTAATAGATTGCAATAGATTTGGGGTTGGGTGCAAAGGGAAAAATATCTGCTCTAAGGACTACACCAGTCTTTGTGTTTTATGTTGCCCCTTAGGGGATCGTTATTCACCATCCTTCAGTGTGACAGGTACGCTGTTCAATCTTATTTGAACAGAACTTCTAAATAGGCTTTCACAGGTGGTGAAAGGGGATAAGAAATAATCTGAGCCTAGTTTTAGACACAAAAAGTTTACCTTTGGATGCGAAAAATGTCATGAAATGTTTGCAATTTTTCTAACAGCGAACTGGTTAAAAATACAACGTAAGGCAGCAGTCTACATTGAGCGACAGTGCAGGTATACAACGTTCATTTATTTCATTCTTGTAAGTCTGATTATTTCCTCATACATAATTTTATTTAAAAATAAAGTGAATAATTTTTAATCCCAGTTAAAATTAGTACAAAACGAAAGAGCTATTCCGTCGAGTACAAAAAGGGAATCGTGGAAGACTCCAGGGGTGTAAATCTTATAGCATTCTGTAAAGAGAAGATGCTGGATCTCCTGTATGGTTTCGTAAATGGCGTGCAGACTACGATTACCTGTGTTCAACTGGTGGACCAAGGAAATGAGAAAAAACGTAGAGTTGGATCAGGTCGGCAGCCGTTATTTTCTGAGTTGGAAGATTGCATCTGGGAATGGATTGCAGGCAGGAGAGCAATGGCTTTGCCTGTGCGCAGGGCTGATATTCAAAAATTTGCCCTTGAAACAGCAATTGTATTTGATATATCCACAGAAGAATGTAAAGCATCGTCACACTAGTTGTACAACTTCCTCAAACGATATGAACTGTCTCTAAGGAGATCAACAACATTGTTTAAGCTGGAAGACAATGAAGTTGTTAAGCGTGCACTTGCATTTAAGCTTTTTGTGGATGGCATCGATTTTTCAAAATACCAACTCTCCAATATGATTGCTATGGATGAGACCGCAGTATTCCTAGGCCAAGGAGCTGAAACGGCAGTTCACCACAAGGCTTTCTTCGTCAATTTATATTCCTTCTACCAGTTATGGCCCTATCACCTCTAGGGACGCGCTCGCTTACCTGGGACAATTCTGAGAAACGAGATTCTAGTAGCACAGCTTTAAACGGGAGGCTTCCGAGAAATGTTTCGTCTAGCTAGGAGGAACATGTCCCGGCTATGAGCAACATTTTAAAACTTGTCCGAAAATGTTTCGGCTGGAGACGTGTTCCTCGAACGTTCAACCAATCAGACGAAAGTTCTGCTTCTGAAGGATCACGGATAACTTTCAATTTGGCGATGGCTCTCACTGTGAAGTCCTGGACGGTGGAAATAGAGGCCAATTTAATTATTGCTGCTTTTTTTTTTTTTTTTTTTTTTTTTTTGTAATACAACTGCCTGAGTCATTTTTTAAATGTGTATATATTCATTAAATATATAATCGTGAAAATTTCAGAGTTGACAGTATTTTACGACGTTCTTGCGTTTCGGATTTGTTTACAAATTGTTCGTCGCCAAAAGTTCGCCAAATTTGTCGTATTTCGTGCTGATCGTGTATTATCCCTGTATAATAGAATTTTTTCTTAATTTAAGTTGAAAAAATTTTTAAAATCCTTTGTATATGCCACGCTTTTCTCCTAATTACTTTCTTTTAAATTGTTAATTGCATAATCAGTGCACCTTTTAAACAGCATAAAAATATGCATAAAAAAAAGCATAGCTTATGTAATAATAAGAATACCTTTAAATTTGTCTATTTTTTCCATGTTATTAATGAATACTTTTTGGATTATAAATACATTAGAAACTATACTTTTATTGTAAATGCTCATATTGAAACTTGGAAATTTGGATTTATTATTATGCAATGGGGAAAACATTTGTATATACATTCATTAATAAATCTTTTCATTACATTAATGGTGGTTCCCTCCTAATTAAGGAATGACTGGTTACCTCCAGACACCTTGACATTGCAATAACCCCTTCAGGATCATTTGCAGATGGAAATCAATGAATATATTGAAACAGAATGGTGAAAATCATTGAGGTCATTTTGTGAACCAGCTACAAGAAGTTGAATTGGGTAAAAAATTCATGGGAACCTGATAGTGATGTTTCCAAGCACTACGAACAGGCTACTTAGACAGAAGTATTCATTTAACGATAGCATACATGAGAGATTCGGACCAATGATTCACAGGAAATGAATTTGGAAGAAAATCAGAATATATTTCAGAATTTTATTTATGACGATGTTCCAGAAGATGACATGACTGTAATTGAATAAATTTAAATTTCTGTATTCTGTGTAAATAAATATTAAATAAAAATATATAAATATACTTTTATTTTTGCCCTCCCCCGAAAATAAGCCCTAGCGTGTATTTTGGACCAAAAAAGAAAGTAAGATAGTGTCTTATTTTCGGAAAAAGATGGTAAAAGAATTAAATTCAGAGATGGAATCTTTAAGAATCAACAAATGGCTTTTATTAAGTAGGTGAGAAAATGACTTGAAAATTTAACTTCTTGGGAATCTATGCAATTTTATAGCTGATAGAAGGATGAAATATAATGACAACAAGGTTATTAATATTAATTGTAACAGTATAAAGGCATTGATGGCAAGATGAAAATTTTTTAAGGCTTTATGAATGGCCATGGCAAAAAGTACTCTATCAATGGCAACTGATTTCAAATGATTGTGTTTATTAGGAAACAAAGTTTCTGAGGAGCAAACTTTGAGAGCAAAATGTATGTAAGAGTAAAACGAAGCCAGTTTTTACTTAATTGTGGACAAGATTTAGCATGGGGAGACAAACAGAAAGATGAAGGTTTAAGGTAAACAGTAGTGCTAAAACCTATTCATTGTGACTTATTAGGATTATAAGAAAAGGAAGGGAATTGTCAGATTCAGTTTTAAAAGTGAACTGGATCAATCAAATTTATAACAGATAAAATCTAGGAATAAATATTTTCTGTTACCATTAAAAAGCACAAAAGTGTCATCTCTGTAGTGAATCTAGAAGCAAAAAGAAAGTTCATCAAATAATTTGACCTCAAAATAGTGCATGTAAATATCAGTGAGTACAGGTTTGTGGGGATTACCCATAGCTAAGCCTTCAATTTGGCAATAATATTTATTTTTGAAAATGAAGAGGTGTGACATAAACTTTAATGAGACAAACTAACTCCTCAATTTCAGTGTGTGTAAAATGGAATTCTCAGTCTGGTTACAGGACATTTTAGTGCTTCCTCAACAGAACTATTAGTAAACTGTGATTTAACATCAAAGAAACCATAATTGAACTCTGGGGGGATATCTTGGAGTTTTTCAACAATTTTAAAAGAATTTTTTACAAAGAAAAAATTGTTAGCTTAATATTTGGCTAATGGATATGATGCTGTTCCTATGTTAGAAACTGTAGACTGAAAAGGAATTTCAGTTTTGTGAACTTAAATAGTAAACAGGTGAGCATAAAACCCATCGCAGTTAGCAGTAGAGGGGATACGTGATTTTTCAAAACTAAGTTGAGAATATATTAGAAAATTTACTAGCTGTTTTAACTTTCGTAAGATCAGAAGTTGAAGGATGTTTAGGGATCAAGTAATATGATCATTAATTTATTGAGCGTTAGTTTAGTGAGTGCACAAGCCGGTGTAAGTACAGTATTACCTAGATTAAATTTACTCACAGGGTGAATTCCCATGGCTTTTGAAACTCAAAATTCATTATGTGACACTGTACTATGTAACAATTGATGGATGGGCTGAAGAAGAAAGTTTGGGGGTGCAAATGCCCATGGTTCCTGCCCTGTGTAGCATTCAGGGTACATTTATTTTTCTTCCTCAATAAGTGCACATTCTTTTGCATTTAAAAAAAAAAAAAAAAGCAGGCCCTGCACACATACATACATACATTCCTGAATATGGTTCCGATAACAGAAGAGTACTTTATATTCCAGTACTTTCATCTGATCCTCTAAAGATTAAGATTAGAAATATTAATAATGGGATTATTATTTACAGTGAGAAGATTAATAGAATGGGTGGGGCTTGATGATTGGCATGTGAGGTTTTGAAATTTAGAAGCAAGGACCTATTTTTATGGCATTAAACAAGTGGTTTTTGGTTCTAGACCAAGGTTTATGATCAAAAGGGGGAAAATTTCAAGTAGAATTGCTAGTTTTCAAATGAAGAAGAAATAATTCATATTCAGTTTTAGACAAACGTTTACCCATGTTTCTCGTAATGTGCGAAAAAAGTGACATTTTAAATTTGCGCATAATTTTCAAATGTGAACAGATTTAAGATTACATTTTAATTTTATAAATTTAGGAACGATATTTTGATGCTTGCATTTAAGCAAAAAAATGGAGATAGTCTAAGTATTTTATGGACTTCAGAATTTATGCACCAAAAATATTTTTGATTTATTAAAGTAAAAGGGTGGGGGACATGAAAAAATAAGGAATGCTAAAAGTATAAAATAATCTAATAATGATTTCAAAAGGGAAATCAGAAAATGGGTAAAAGATGGCAGCAAGAAAACATTAAAACTGAAGAACGCAGTACAGTACAAAATGAAACTATGCCACTGATACAGCACACTTAGAAAGTTCCAAAGAATAATGTATAAGAAAATATCAGGGATAAAATGATAAAAAATTAAAAAGAAAAGAAATGAAAGAATTCAACAGCAATGGGAAATGGTGATCCAAAAAACAAAATGGCTCAAGTGGACAAATGAGCAAAACTGAAAGAATTTTTAAAAATGTTTGGTTGTCAAACAAATTGAGAGAAAAGATATGCTCTCCTTGCTGTGCCCTTTGGTTTTCATATAAATAAGGTCATTGCTGCTTTCTTCTTTGACAAATTTTATGCTGCTACATAGAGGGACCTGTAACTCTTGGTTCTGGAAATCAAGAGTTTTAATTAAAATATATGGCAAGCACAACAAGCTTTTGTCTGATTTTGAGTTTTACTTTGCTGTAATTCTCTCTTAATCCTTAGTTAGTTCCCTGAATTTCAGTTTGATTCTAATCCTGATTATGGGGAAAAAAGTATTAATATTTTATGTATTTAATTTTATTTAGTACTGAAATATGTTTTAGTTCTTATTGTAAATAATATAATACATTTTATTTACAGGTTTTAGAGAAAATGAGGCCAATAGATGAGAAACTGAAATATCAGATCAATAAATTGCTAGCTACAGCAACATCAGGAAATATTGGTATATACTAAATTAAATTTTTTAATTACTAATCATGTTTACCAAATGGAAAAATACTTGTATACAACAATCAAAATTATTTAAAAGTGTGACATACATTAGCTGGTAATTGAATTACGCTTCCATATATATGTGTGTTTTACTTGTAAAAGCTATAGTTAATATCCTTACATTTCAGATACTAAAGATCCTCTTCGATTCAGAGCCAATCCTGAAAGTTTAGAGGATCAGGTAAATAAACTTAAATGTGCTTTAACTGTAAAAATAATTGCTTCTTGAAAATTATTAAATCTTTTTCCTACACTGAAATTTCTGAAAGCAATGTAACTATGCAAGCTTTGAAGCTTAAATCAGTTCTTTCAGGTTTACAGTTTTTTCTAAATTAAAAAAAAATTTAAATAATTTGAAATTCAGAATTAAACAAGTAGTTGATCAAAGTAAATTTAATAAATTTTTATAATTTGAGGAAGTGCTGAAAATATAATTTCGTAATTCCTTTTTTCATCAAATAAATTTTCTGATGTCTGAGGATTGTTTTGGAAATGCAATCATTAATACATGGGAAATTTTATCTGAAATTTATCATTCCATTTATTATAGTAAATTATTTATCAGAGCAACAAAATATTCCATAAAAAATCAAAGTACAGTCAAAAGTCGTTAATACGGACTCGTCGGGTTCTCTTCGACGACTCCGGATTATAGATCATCAGTTTAAATCTGGTAAGATGGCATGCAGAAATTATAAAATTAAAAATATGAAACCATAATTTATGAAATAAAGAAAAATTATGATCTAAAGGGTATCAAAATTTACAAAAAAAAGTTAATATTTATTTGTTTACTTTATTAAACATTTCTTTCAATGTAAGTTGCTTCGTTTCATGTGATAATACTTTCTCTTTAATTATATTAAACAGACATAATTTCTTGTTTAGATACAAAGTTCCGCTGTTCAAGTCCTATAATTGCTGTGTCGAGAATACCGACTAATTTGTCAATCGAAATTTTTTCGTTTTCAATAACATCTGTGTCACTTTCTTCGCTATCGGAAGCGAATTATAATGATGAGGAATTTAATTTAAATCATATCAAAGATGGAGTACATCGAGATGAAATACTACATTTAGTAAGGAATTATAAGCCAAATAAAATAAAAACATCTGCTCTGAAGATAAGGATAGTGCTGACAGATCAACTTCCAATTCATTGCGCACCGCAGAGCAGCGTGAAATTGATAAACAGATTTCGGAATGGTTAGAGAAACAAAGGATATGCCTTTATCTATTTTTTGCAGCAATTCCACTTTTTGTTTGATGGACATCGAAACATACTTTCGCTTTGTAGATCCTTTGGCAGCTCCAGCATCGGAAATTCTATTTGACATAATCAAAAGTTCAGGCTTACTTTTATAAAATTGATCTAACAGTCTGCAAAAAATAATAAGCCAGATCCAATTCGAAGATTAAGGAACAATGCGATCTGCAACATTAACTGAATTAGATAATTTTAGCTTAGCTTATACCATCCATTATACATTAAACGCGCATGCGTAAACGTATTATGCGCATGCACAGATGCATATTCGCAGCCGTAAAGGTCTTACGCGTATGCGTAAACACCTATGCGCATGACGCATGCGCAGAAAGTTTGTAGCTTTGAGATCCGGATTATAGATCATTCCAATTATGGGTGTTCGAATTAACGACTTTTGACTGTATTTTTTCTGTGGAATTAAGCAACTTTCCATACATTTATTCATCATTATCAGAAGGTACAAGTAAGCTGTAATGGAATTTCCATATATTTTTATCCGCGATCACTGTTTATTTATTTATTTTTAATATTTTAAGGTAGTACACATCATATTTTTTACTTTAACCATGCAAGTAGCAACACTTCTCATAAGAGCGACTGCTTTTATCACTAACTTCTGCTAATTCTGCTCGTTACCTTCTAGCACATGCACATATGCATGATTTCCTGTTTTTAATAATGACTCTACTTTATTTACATTTTATATATTATTAGCCCAAATGGGTAGTAGCCCAGAAGAGCTATTAGTCTCAAAATGACATATTTTGTGGCATTTCACTATAAACAGCGAATCACTTTAAATTGTTGCCAACAAATATTATCACCCTGTGTTATATTTAAAGATATAAAATAATGAACAATCTGCATGAATATAATTATGGTTCTCCTGTTGTGAAAGAACGACAGTACCTGGAGCCATCAAATTTTGAATACATAATCCTCCACCAGAACGTGGGCACCTGGATACCCAAATTTTGAATTTCAAATTTGTTTTATTGTCTGTTTCATATTTTGTAAAACTTTAATGAATTTTTTATTAACAAGCTCAATGATTTCAAAGCTAGCAATGGTAACACTGTACGGAAAAAAAAAATTTTATATCCAGCGTGCAAGGCCATGTATTGGAAATTCTAAAGATATGCTGTTTTTAAATATTTTGTGATTTTGCTCTTGAATTGAATTTTATGTGGTTTAACAGCGAAGAACATGATATTTAATAAGGAAATACACAAAATGGGGGGGAAAGGCCCCTTTGGGCATAATATAAAATCTGAAAGATTATAACTTTTTTTATTATTTTTTTTTTAATTTTTATCCTTTTTTTTTATTATTATTATATTTTTAATGCTTTATTCTGTGCTAACTTTTTTATTCTAATTTTTTCCTCAATAGTTGTGAACATCAATAATTGCTCCAAATTATTAAACAAGGTAATGTTTTCATTGTCTGCTGAATCCTCAGTATATCGCTAGTGTTCTAATTTAAGTTGAGAATACTTTTATTAACCCATTAGCCGCTGGTGTTGCGTTGATGCAATGGTCAAAATAAATGCGTATATAAATATAACTACCTAAGATATTTTATACCAGCAGATGATTTTGTGTAGGGAATGTTATGAAGATTATTTCTGTAAAAAAATATTTGCCTTCAACAATCATTTTATTTATAATAATTAATCCCATACTTTAAGCAAAATTTTCGACCGGGTATTTTTGCCGAAAATATTTAACGAAAGAATGGCCGTCTTTATGAGGGATCTATTTTTAGTCAGGGTCACCGTTTATCAGAATATCACATCAATCAGATGTTTATATTTGTGAAGGAAGGAAAAAAAATGTGTTGCGCTGACCCAACGTCAGCAGGAAATGGGTAATCTCCTTTTTCACTCATTTCTTTCGATGTTCTGGCTGCTTTAAAAATGCCTATAGCGAGGTATCTTACATTAGAAGAAGCTCTTCAAAGATTTTTGATGAAGAAACAGATGATGATAACGTTAATAATGACTAGAATGAAACTGATATTGTTGTTGTTCCCCCAGAAATTGCAGAAGCTAGGGATGAACAAGAAGGAAATGACAGCATTTTAAATAATGATATTTTACCAAATGAAATTGCTGGGGAAGTTGAAATTCATGTAAGAAGTAAGTTTCAGCCTTCTGAAAAAAGAATATGAAAAAGTTTAAAAAGCAGAAAACTGAAAACTTGAAATGGATAAAAAAGGAACTGTCAGTTATATCTCAGGAAGAAAATAAAGAAAGATATAGAAGAGAAACTACAAAAGACAAAATACAAGGTAAAAACTAGTGGAGAGATTTTCGATTTTCTTTTTGCTTTAGACATTTACTCTTTTCTCGTTGAAAAGACAAATATATGCGCTCAGCAAAAAAATCTCCCAAAATTTATTGCATCTGAAGTCTATATGGGAAGATTTATTGGAATATTATTGCTTACAGTATATCCTTCTTTACCTCAAGAAGAAATGTATTGGTCTCTTGATAAGGACATTTCTGTTTCTATTGTACGAGAATCGGTATAACGTTTGCAGTACAGGAATGTAAAGCAGAATTTGCATTTAGCTGACAATAGTCAAATTGACAATACTGAAAAATTACATAAAGTGAATACCGTATCTAAACGTACACATGGGGAAAACCATGAAAACACCCATGCAGCCAGCCCATTCGTGGGATTTGAACCTCGGACCGAACTACCAGTGTTCCATGACTTTACCGCTCGGCTGCTGGTGGGCCTGGAAATAAAAAGTCTTTTTTAGATTTCAGGCACGAGATTGCATTATTCCCTTTGCAAACTCCTATTGAGAGTGTAGAATTAACCAGAAATAGATCAGCAACAGGAAGACCTAGTAAATTCAGCATTCAAAAACCACTGCAGGGAGATGGTAGACATTTTATCGTAAAGTCCAATGGTAACAAAAGACTTCGTAGTAAAGAGTGCCATAGCCAGACTGTTTATAGATGCAAAGTATGTAATGTAGCTTGCATGCTTGAATCTTTCAATTGAAATAATCTGTATTTGTAAAAGAAATATAATGCATATTTAAATATTAAATTAATTACAAGTAAAGTGATTTGTAGATTTATAAAACATTATACAGCTAAAAAGTAATCCATTCAAAGGTGTGTGTGTGTGATTATGGCAAAGCCTCGAGGGCTATCTGCCTAAAGGGAGGGATGCCTTTCGTGGAGGACTTTCTAAGGGAAACTGGCTCGTATACACGTTACACATGGGGAAAACCACGAAAACGCCCATGCCGCCAGCCCGTTCGCGGGATTCGAACCTCGGACCGAACTACCAGTGTTCAGCGACTTTACCGCTCGGCCGCTGGTGGGCCTAATCCATTCAAAGGAAACATCGCACGAGTACAATCCTATTCACTAAACATCCCTAGTCTTATTCCGCTGACGTTGCGCGAACGCAACACTCACTTTTTTCCACAAGTAAGAGCATTTTTTTTTTATTTTCAATGTAAATATATGTTATAAATGCTTAATTTAATATTTGTTATTATTTTCATGAGAAAAGAATCATTCCTTGTAGTTTTGGCGATTAATGGGTTAAGCTAGCCATTGTTTTATTCTTAAATTCACAAATATTGTTGAGCAGCATTTATTAGATACTCAATCGTAAGTCATATCTTTGATGCTAATATTTTCAGTGGAAAGAATTCAGTAGAAAAATACTGCCAAACCCAAACATAAACTTGACACTTTTATCTAGCCGTGAAATTTTTATTTCCATTTAATATATAATAGTTTAAGCATAAAATAGCTTAAAATTTAAAATGTTTTTCTTTAAGGATGTGAATATCATCTTATTGAATGGAATTTGTCAAAATAGAGACTGAAGTAATTATATAAATGTAGCTAATACTGACTGTTTAAATAAGTTTTCATGAGCATATCCAAGAAAAAGCATGCCACTCAGAGGGTTAAGGAGTAGTTCCAGCTGCATATATCTTCTTTTTTTTAAATTTTTATTGCAAATGTGGCAGAAAATCTTTCTTCAAGTAGAAGAAAAAGGCCTTTAAGCCCTGTTTCTACTCTTTAAACTAAAAAAGTGAAGATCTGAAACTTCTGAATGCAAATCATTTGGCTAAATTTTCTGCAATGAAGAATAGTTGTTTACTGAGTCTTAATAACAATGCATTGGTTCCTGTTTTATTTATTTTGAATCTAAACTGATATTTATTATTATTGTGCTGTTAGCTCTTTTTGCTTAAAGAAGCTTAAAGTGTATGTCTTTTTTAGTTGTTTTCTTCATCTATAGCTATAATAGTAATTTTATCTTGGAATAAATGTCGGCATTCATTGGGAAGTTATAAATGGAATAGTGAAATTGACAAAATTGTTTAATACATAATTGGTTTAAAATTTATATTAAAAACCTTCAGACTCAAGGATTTACTTTAATATCTGAAAGGGGGACGAATCTAGTTGGTCCAAAGCTGTAACACAATTAACTCACCACTAAGTGAATTGTATACATTTGAAGCTGTCCACTGTTTATAAGCTAGTTAAATTTTGCTAATGTAGTCAACACTACTGTATGACATCAACTATTATATATCACTCTTTATATGATATTAATTTAAGAGAACGTGTGATGCATTTTATTGCAAATGTACATATTTTCTTCATTATATTGCAGATTTTTAAATTTAGAAAAAGGATCATTCATCATTGAAACTATTGATACTGGCAGATAATGTATAACAACCTTTATATCATTTTGTAAACTAATAAACTAATCGATGGAAATTTGTGCTGTAGTTATCCTATTATAATGTCAAAATTTTTGGGTGAAAAATTTATTTGTCATCTGATTTGAAAATTCCATAATGATGGTTTCAATTCCGAAATAAGAAGTGCCAACAATTTAATTTTTCAATTTCCTCATTTCCGTAATGCTGACTCCATAATGATAATTTCACCATGCTAATAAATTGTCACTATACATTAAATTCTGTTGGCACTTCATGTGCTTAAAAAGAGATGTTCCCCTTAAGTTGTATAAATTACTAGCAAAAGGGAGATGTGTTTTGCATAGTTATATAAAATGTATCATTCCATTGCTTAGGTTTAGTTTTATGCCATGCACTTTTTTTAAATCTTCTTTTTTCAAAAAATAAAAAATTATCTAATGACTGACTTTTTAAAGTTTTGTATAATTGTATCAAAAATTTCTATGTCTTAAAAAATAAATATTAATAATAATAAAATAATTTTAAAAAAGTCTGATCTGAAAATTTTATATGGTTACTGAAAATAGTCCCTTTGGAGTTGATTAATCATTTCTGAAAAAATAAAGCTGTGTTTTTATTAAATGAATAAAATGGAACCAAAACTATTTCAAAATATTCTCAGAGAAAATTGAAATCTATCGGATATTTATTTTAAAAGGCTGGAAGGAATTGATATATCCATGCTTGCAAATAAAATAACTAAGTACTTATTCGAAAATAAATTAGCTGTTAATACTACTAAGTATATTTTCAGTGTAGTTTCTGTATTTACAATATATTTATTTATTCTATTTAAATATATGAGTTTAAATTTGAGCGTACCATAAGTTAGTAATAACTATAAAAATTCCTGTGATTAGATATTTAAAACTGTAGAATTTGTTCACAAGACAACTCACTTTAAATTTTCTAAAATAATGTCCTTTTTTTCCTCCCCACATTAGGAAGAAGAAGATACTCCAAATGAAAGCAAAAGAGAGTCTAAAGTATATGTTCCTCCTAAAATTTCTGCTGCTTATTTTGGTTTGTATTTCCAAGTTTCAATTTGTTACTTTCTTTTAATTCTCTTTTTATTATTTCAATGCTGTTTATAGAAACTGTGGCATGTGAAAAAATCCCTATATAATTAATGCATAAAATACACTTTTGTTGTAGTCACTGCTCATTGTATCTTTCTTTTTTAAAAAGAAGGATATGACATCTCATGTAAGTGTCAACCGTGTTACATTTAAATATATTCCATTTATTATTTAAACATTTCATTAATTTCTGTCCTTCCGTTTTGTGTTTACTTGCACATTCATCATATTTAAAAATGCTGATGCAGTGAATTTTGTTCGGCATATTTCTCATAATTTTCTAACATTTAAGTGTTACCCTTCTTAAAAAAAAAGTATGATACTGAATACTGTTAGTTATGTTATTATTCAATATATGTGATATAAATCAGGGAAAATTCCACTTAGCTCCAAACTTATGAAAATCTTTTTGGGCAGTATGTGTATGTTATCAGCTGTTATTAGAAATGTTTCTTCTGTACTCAGTGTGTAACTCAGAATGAGAAATGCAGCAAGCCACAAGTATTTTTTATATGACTGTATGCTCTAGACTGACCCACAAAAAAATCTTTTATTTAGGATATATTCAGTTATCACTTAAAAGCTAAATAAAAATTATCAATTTTTCTTTTTTTTTTAAATCAGATGCTAAGCTAAACTCTTCCACTTTCTTGTCTTTTTGTATCACCAATTTGTAGAAAAGCAGTTTTAGAGATATTTGTGGCAAATATAAAAGATATGTTTATTGTTTTTGTTCTGATTTTATGCTAGAATGCTGAACTGAATACAGGATGATCATAAATATAACCCTAATAACCTGTCCATACAACCAATCAAAATTAAATTTTAGATATTGCTAATTTAAGCTATGTTCTTCACATTCTGATGATTTGAAACAACAAAACTCTCACCATTATGGTTACAGGGTAAAAATTTTGTAATTTTTGGGTAAAAATTTTGTAATTTTTGAATGGCAACATCCACTTTTTTCCTACGCAAATAGATCACTGCATTGAAAAACCATAAATGGCATTGGAACAATACATGTGTAGCGAAAATTGCTGGCATTAAACATTTGCAAAAAAGAGCATTATAAAAGACCTTTGACAACATAAGAGAGGAAAGGAAGAAAAACATTTACTGGAATTATAATTTTCAATGTGCTCCCTTTTGCAAATAATGTATTCTATGTTGGAAATTGTTGACAACAGTGACAAAGATAGCATCGCAGAAGGAATCTGTATAACTTCACATTTTATGGTATCTTTCAATTCTGCTAAATCTCATGGATTTGATGTAGATTTCAGATAACCCCAGAACCAGAAATGTATCAGAGTGAGGTTGAGAATTCACAGGGACCACAAAACAGTAAAATTACGGTAGATGACTGTGTCCCAAATGCTGTTGCAGTACATGCTGAACACATGTGGCAATGTGTGGAGAAGCACCATCTTGCGTTTTGCTTCTAGAATTATGTAATTCTGCAACATCATTATATACCGAGCACTTGTTGCTCGTTTGAAACACTTTCTGATACCGTCGAAGTGACCCGTCTGAAGAAGTATGGACCGAGATTGAATGTATTTGTGATACCTCGCCACACAGTTACTGTCGTGTAAAGGTGCTAATGCCACATCATGAGGATTTTTCTCAGACAGTGAACGAGTTCTTGGTGTTTATGTAAGGCACCTCATCCATCTGTATCCTCAGCTATCTTCAGCATATCTGATGAAGAAAAAATTCGAAAGTGAGCACGCTGTTGCTCGTGTCCAGGTTGCAACATCAGTTGCACTTGAATTTGTAAGAAAACATCTTCAGAGCAGAGTGCAGAAGCCTGAGGATTTTGTTTTTGGTACATCCAAAAGACTGCTGGCAGCACTTCCTGCAGTATGCAATAGACCAGCAGTAATGGTATTATCCACTTTTGCAACAACCTCAATAGGAACACATGGTCATCCATATCGCAATCTATAGAATATAGGCCTCGCCTTATTATAAGGCATAATAATATACTAGCGGGCAAGCCCGCCAGCTGAGCGGGCTGAAGCCCGCTTATCATTGTTCTTTTTTAAAAGATATCCTATGTTAAATTTGGCCGGTATTGAAAAGTTGAACCGAACTACCATTTTTTAGCGGCATTTCGCGGGCTTCCCCCGCTTTTTTCACCTATGCATCCAGAAGTTACCGCATACACTATACATATGCGGAAAATCACGAAAACACCCATGCTTCCAGCCCTTTCGCGGGTATTCGAAATTTGGACCGAAATACCAGTGTTCAGCGCTTTGGGCGGAGCCCGCCCAAAACAGTGTTCACGTGTGCATGCAAAAGATACTGCGTACACCGTACACATGCGTAAAATCACGAAAACACCCCTCCAGCCAGCCGCTGCCGATTCGAAAGTTGGACCGAAATAC